ACTGTTTTCGAGGCTGAAGTCAAAGACCAGATGGCCTCCTTGGTCTCACCTATGGCGAGAGCGCCGGCGTACTTGCAAAGCATCGGACAGCAAGACAGGAAGCTAAAAGAGCAGCTGGTCCAACTGAGGCTTTTATAACCAAGGCTCTGGCTTGAACCACCTTCGAAGGGCAGGCCAATCACTTAAGGACTTCCACTAGGTACATCTCCCAAATGTCTTCATTAGATTAAGCTTGTTTTTAGTACTCTTAGCTTATGGTTTTCGACGTGTTTATTTTTGTGAAACACAGATAGAGCTTCCGTCTTTTGGTTTGTTCTCCAAATGCCCCAACAGTTTGGCTGAAACCAGGACCCACGTGCTAAATCTGGGTATGTGAGCTGTCGTCTGCTGCCCTCCCAGATAAGCATTCACAGGAAGCTGGAATAGAAGTGGGGTGGGAGGCTAGACATCCCAAGGAGCATCTGATCTGTTGAGCCAAAGCCATGCCCATGACTTAGAAGGCTGAATTATATTCAATCTACAGCAATGTTAACAGGCTAGTCGGAGAAGTGTGATGCATTCTAGGAAATGATAGAATTATCCTTTAAGTCCATAAATATCTTTCATCTTCTTTTTCAAAAACATTGATCTCTTATTTCTCACAGTCTAGAAAATGAAATAAACAAACCGTTATTGGTTATTCCAAATTGTAATGCCCTGGAATCCTCCAGTAACCCCACCTTCCTATAATTGTTCACCAAATTAGACTACTGGGAACAAAGAGCTGCTGTTATGATTTCTGATGAATGCTAGTAGAAAAACATCATGCTGAGCCTGATGCGGTGGCCTAGCAGCTAAAGTCCTCGCCTTGAATACGCCCACCCATATGGGTGCTGGTTCTTATCCTGGCGGCCCTGCTTCCCATCCAGTTCCCTGCTTGTGGCTTGGGAAGGCAGTTGAAGACAGCCCAAGGCTTTGGGACCCTGGGCCCTTGAGGGAGACACAGAAGGGGCTCCTGTCTCCTGGCTTCAGATTGGCTCAGTTCCAGTCATTGCAGCTTTTTGGGTAGTCAATCAGCAGATAGAAGATCTTCCTCTCTGTCTCTCCTCCTCTCTGTATATCTGCCTTTTCAATAAAAAAATATATATATTCTACTGTTCTACTTGATACTAATACTTGATCAGTTTGTGTTATGACTTAGCTTTTTCTTGTGGTTGGCTACTTTGTGTCATCACTGTCTCCCTGAGAATCCACTAGTGTGGACATCTGCCAGTTATCCCTACTCCAGTGTGCCTCAAGTTTATTTGTGTCATTAAAACCCTAGGGCCAAGTACCAGGGCAGGCCTAGCAAGCAACTATGACAAGCATAGAACTGATGGCAGCTTCATTGTAATTATACTTTTTTTGCATGGGCACCCAGCTGTGTCATAATAATACCTTCTAATACTAGAGGCCAGATAACACAGATATACAAGCTGCTCCATGTATTCCAAAAAAATTATATTATACTTGGTGCTTTTTCCAACTCATTTTCCCCTTTTATCCACCCTGGACTAGCACCCAGCCTGTCAGTCTTTTCACAGACAAGAAATGGTTCTAGATGTCCTTGTGAAGTACAGAGTTAGAGCCATTTTTTAAAATAAGCTTGTGAAGTTTTTTTTTAATTATTATTATTTTTTTATTGGAAAGGCGGATATACAGAGAGGAGAGACAGAGAGGAAGATCTTCTGTCCGATGATTCACTCCCCAAGTGAGCGCAACGGGCCGATACTATGCCGATCCGAAGCCAGGAGCCTCTTCCGGGTCTCCCACGTGGGTGCAGGGTCCCAAAGCTTTGGGCCGTCCTCGACTGCTTTCCTGGGCCACAGGCAGGGAGCTGGATGGGAAGCCGGGCTGCCGGGATTAGAACTGGCGCCCATATGGGATCCCGGGTGTGCAAGGTGAGGACCTTTAACCACTTGCGCCACCGCGCCGGGCCCAGCTTGTGAAGTTTTTAGTTGCTGTTTCATATCTGGGTGGTAACTGATTTAATATGTGGTTTGACTGTTTAATAAAAATATGATAATGATGATGAGAAACTTTTAGTGAACATTTATTGTGCTTCAGAAGGTGTAAAAAAAAAGCACTTTTCCTGTAGCATTTCAATTAATCCTCCCAAATCCTATGAGATAGGCATTTCAGATGAGGAAGGGGGTGGGCTCAGAAGAGCGCAGTTTCCTTGTTCAAGGACAGTAGGACAGTAAATGACAGAGCAGTTGAATCCACGGAGTCCAGCACCAGAGTTCATGCTGGTAATTGTTTAAAACTTGGGGCTGGAGTCATGGCACAAGTCATGGCTCCTGGCATTCCATACCGCAGTGCAAGTTGGAGCCCTGGCTGCTCTTTCTTGATGGTAGAGCTGGTTGAATTGAATTTGATTGTCTGTGATCTTCCTATACTTGAGTAAGTCTATCTTCCTGAAGGTTTGGGGAATTCTATGTTGTTGACTCTTTGAGTATGCTTTCCCACGCCATTGACATTCTCTAGGCCCTCTTGAATAGCAGTTATAGAAATAGGCTCTTTTCCCACCCTGATCAAGTATGTAAACATCATCAAAAAAATTTAAAAAAAAAGAAATATGTTCTTTTCTTGCTGGCCCAGAATTTTCATAAGCATTTTTCATTACTCTTAATTATATTTTCAGCTTTTCATACAGTCTGTCATCAAATTCAATAATTCTTTTTCTGTCTCATCTATTCTGCTATTTATGCCTTCTAGCACATTTAAGCTTTTGCTTACTGTAGTTTCTAATTGAAGGATTTTGTTTAAAAAAATGTTTCCATCTGTATCAAGTCTCAGAATCTAACATTGTTTCTCTATCTTAACTTCTTCATTGAGCATATGACAGTGTCAAAGCTTATGTTGCTGGTTCCTCATACCTTAACTTTGCTCATTAGGTGAAATCATAATTCCCTGAGAAATGTCTTGCACTTGGTGCATAAGGACATCTTTTTTCTAGTCTTTATAATCTGCCTTTCTGCTAGAAATTCTGAGCAGTCCATGTCTGCACCTGTGGATGCTTCTGCCATGTTAGCACTCTATCATACCTTAAGTTTAATGTAAGTCTTCTTCCAGAGCACAGTCATGGCTTCAGGAGTACCCTGAACTCAGTTTTATTTAAAAATATACAATACTCAGAATAATCCAAAAGGGTGTCCAGATATGGGTAGTCCATCCGTGCTGTCAGGGCCAAGGCAGACCTAGATGCCCAGTCATACAGTTACCAACCAAACAAAGCTACATCTTACCCAGAGTGTATAGCCCACCCACACCAGCACAGCATGGAGGTAGAACAAAAGCCTCTGGACTGTCATCTTTCTCCTGTTGAGATGGACTTAAAGCCTGAGGCAGTTGCCTCTAGCCAGGAGTGTAAGTCCAATGGACTGCAACCACAGGATTCCATTTGGGGCCTGGGAAGGTGCAGAGGAAATGTCCACTGGTACTGGTCTTGAGATAGGACATTTAGAGTCTGTCCAGTGTTGAATTTTACCAGTCTGGCCAATACTGAGCCCAAATACATTACCCTAGGGTTTCTGGTTATCTGTGCAAGGATAGGATAATTTTTACAAATGCGTTGATCACCAAGGCTTGTACTAAGCTGAGTCCAACCAGATCTCACATTCATCAGGCCTTATACAATCTCAGAATTGTATGCTGGGTACACGTGAGACTACCAATGATACACACTGAAACTACCCCCATTCCACTAGGGCTCAAAGCTTTGCTTGTTGCTATAGCTCTGTTTGGTTCTGTCATTTTGTTGTCTGGCTATGATCGGAGGAGGGATGTGGATTAGACAGCCCCTTGGGCACCAAGACTGACTCTGAGCTGGGTCACAGCTACGTTTTGCAGTCAGGCCCTGTGCTGTCTCTGAGTTGCATTCCATTAGGCTGGTATACATGCTCAGACAAGGCAGTCCCACCAGCATGCTTCTCTCCAATGCTGGGGCAGCTGAAGAGTCTGAGATATGGTGTGGGTTCCTGCAAGTGTTGAGTCTCGTAGCCGTAGCCCAGCTCTGAACTCCAGGATAAGGTCCTAATTCCCCTTTCCTATCCTACTGTCTAGTGGCTGGAGTGTTGCTCCACTGTCTCCAGGAGGGGTGGTGGAGGTGGACCTTTAGCCATGTGGTTAAGGAAGATCTAAAAGCTCAGGGTGCTGGGAGGTGCCTCGGGCAGAGGCCACAGTCCTGGATTTCAAGTCCAAGGTCTTCATTTAATTCCCTCTGAGCTTACCAAGCCAGAGGAGGGGTGTCTCTCCACCTGTGCTACTTGTAGCTGGGGGAGTGGTGTTGTGGGCAATTCTTTCTTTCCTTTAGCATTTAATGTGTCTTTTATTGGTAGTATTCTAAAATTAATATTAACATTCTAAAATTAGTGTTTTAAACCTTTTCCTCAATGTATCTGTTATTCTTATTCTAAAATAAAGCATTATAGTCTCTTCCCTGGCTTCTGATGTTCTTGTGAAAGTGACTTAATGTGTGTAAAGGGGCACAAATTGATGTCTTTCAGACAAGATAATTTTCTGAGCTTGTTCAGCTGCGGTCTTGCTGGAAGCCCTTCTGTGACAGTCATTTCTTAATTGTAAGATAGAAATTTATTTATTTGGGGTTGGTGTGATGGCTCAACTGGCTAATCCTCTACCTTCAAGTGCTGGCATTGTGTCCCAGATGCTGCATTTCCTATCCAGTTTCCTGCTTCTGTCCTGAGAAAGCAGTCGAGGATGGTCCAAGACTTTGGCCCTCTTACACCCACTCGGGAGTTCTGAAGGAAGCTCCTGGCTTCAGATTGGCTCAGCTCTGGTCTTTGTGGCATTTGGGGAGTGAACCAGTGATGGAAGACCTTTTTTTGTTTTTCTTCAATGTCTTTCTACCTTTCAAATTAATCAGTAACTCTATTTTCAGATAGCTAAAATGGAATATGTAGAATTTTGTTTTTTCTATGATAATTAGTAATGACTACTACTCAAATATTTTGTTTTGCCAGATGCTGACAATGTGAAACCGTTGGAAGGTGTAAAAATTCTGGATCTAACAAGGTCTGTATTGGTTTATCTGTGTTTTATTGATTAAATTTCCCTTCTCTGTAAAACATTTTTTTGGAAAAGAACATACTGATATGTTTTATTGAAATTTTGGAAAATGACAAAAGAAAAAATTATGTGATTTTGTCATTGTAAGAAACCGTTAACATAATATAATATGCATTTTCCCAACTTATATATGTATGTATATATATATATATATATATATATATATATATATTATAAATTCTCTTTTTATTTGAAAGAGAAAGCTGGGACCGGGAGTGGAACATAAAGAAAGAGAGAAAGAGAGGAGAAAGGGAAAAGAAGATGAAAGGGATGGGGAGAGAGAGAGAGAGAGAAAGAAAGAAAAGCAAAGCATAGAGAGGCAAACAAAGATTTTCATTTGCTAGTTTACTTCCCAAATGCCTCGCTCCAATAGCCAGGGCTGAGCAAGGCTGAAGCCAAGAGCTGGGACCTCGATCTGCATCAGCTCTGTGAGTGGCAGGAAATCAGCTCTATTAGCTAGCAGTTGATACTTACCTAGGTAAGCGTTAAGAAGTTGGAATTGGGAGCAAAGCCAGGACTCAAACCCAGCACTTCCATATGGGATATAGGTGTCCAAGCACCTTATTTTGCTCTTGTATTCTACAGATTTACTTATTTCTCTGAAAGACAGACTTAGACAGAGAGAGAGGGAGAGAAGCAGAGAGAGACAGACAAAGTGAGGTCTTCTGTTTGTTGCTCATTCTCCAGATGGCCGCAGTGGCTTGGCAGCCAGTAGCAGGGGCCTCTTTCAGGTCTCTCATACGAATAATAACAGAGGCTTATGGACTTGGGATATCTTACTTTTTCCCAGGCACATCGACAGGGAGCTGGCTTGGAAGTGGGGCAGCAGCGACTCAACCCAGGTCCACGTGGAATGATGGAATTGTAGGCGGCAGCCTAACCATTGTACCACAATACCAGTCTGAATTGGGACCAATTTCAGTTTACAGGAAAACTGATCAGAAGAGAACAACTTTTTCTGTGGAATGCCAGCATTATAGGTGTTGGCTTTATCTAGTACGCCACAATGCTGGTCCCTTAAGCAGCATCTTAACCACTGTGCCAAATGTCTGTCCTTACATATCATTTTAAGAATCAGAGATTGCAACCAAATTTAAAGTAGTGTTTTACCCATGTAACAATGTAAGCATAATTATGTTACGGGTATTTTCCTATCATTCAAAATTTGGCAAAAACATAAAGTAGCATTTTATTATGTATAGTTGTCATATTATTACCAGTGATCACAACATTTTTTCTTTCAAGATTTATTTATATTTATTGGAAAGGCAAATTTACAGAGAGAAGGAGAGACACAGGGAGAAAGATCTTGTATGTTTTGATTCACTCCCCAGTTGGCCATAATGGCTGGAGCTGACCTGATCTGAAGCTAAGAATGTTGAGCTCCCACTCAGATGCAAGGTCCCAAGGACTTGGACCATCTTCCACTGCCTTCCCAGGCCATAAACAGGAGCTGGGTTGAAAGTGGGACAGCTGGGACATGAACCAGCGTCCATATGGGATGCCAGTGCTTAGAGGGGAAGGATTGGCTAGTTGAGCCATCATGTGTTTCTTCCCCATCCGAATGTTTCATTATTATTAATTAGGTTTGCTTGGAAGCAAAGCTTTACCTCAGTTTCCTTTTTTTAGTTATAATTGTAAAAACAAAATTACTGAATGAAAAAATTTTTAACCCCTTTGGTACAATTGGTACAAATTGACTTTTTATCAATTTTGCTTCTTTCTAACATTCTGTGAGCTTATTTGTGTTTATAGATTATTAAGAATGCGAACATTTTTCAAGGTGGTCATTAGTTGGTTTAATATTGTTAACATTGTAGAGTACTGGCGGGACCTTTTGCTACTATGAATTTGGGAGATCTTGGCGCTGAAGTTATAAAAGTAGAACGACCAGGTAAAGTTACTTCCTTTTTTTTTTTTAAAAGCAAGCTAATGTAATAAAAAATAAAAAAAACAAGCTAATAAATAGTTTTAATGATTTGTTAAATATATATGTTTAGTGTACCTGCTTATGAAATGAGAACTGACATGACTATTTTTCATGTTCTATATCTTGTTCTCCTCTTGTGATCTTTCTCTGCACTCTGACACAGTCCGGAGGTTGAGAATCAAGCCAGCTGCTCTGTAGGCACCTGTTAGCTTCTGTGAGAAGCCACGATACAGCACACCTCAGTGAAGAGAACAGACACCATATTGCTAGGCAGAGACCCAAGCACTGAAATCTTTTCAGCAACTCTATGGTCTGATGTTATGTTGCTGTTTTGTATCAGAGAAAATGAAACAGAGAGGTAAATGATGACCTCAATGCTGCTCAACTAACGAAGCACCTTTAGCATTGAACCGTGCCTTCTTTATCCCGTCAAGGTTAGTTAGAATAGGTGTTGCCACACTTCCTCTTTATGAGATGCTGGGAAGGATAAAAGGGAACAAACAGGATTGAGAGGAGGAAAAAGAATCCAAGTTCCTCAATCAGAAACCTAATTAACACAGGCCATTCTGTTTATAATTAAAGAAATATTTTCTCATCTTAGGGTTTCAAAGGTTTCGAGAGGTAAGGACTCTTAATCCTACATCAGTTTGCTTTTGTTTTTATTAGAAACATTTCATGTTTGTTCTTTCTATTTTCCATCAAATAAACATATTCCATGACCAAAGTTTTCACTTTTGTTAGCTGCCTTCTTGGGGCTGTCTTCTGCTTTCCCAGGCCATTAGCAGGGAGCTGGATAGGAACTGGGGCAGCTGGATGCAAATTGGCACTGATACGGGATGCCAGCGTCACCTGTGGTGGTGGCTTTACAGTGCTGGCACCTGCTGAACACCTTTCTTACATAGCTCAGTTTCTGTAAAGATTCTAATTTCCACATATTACCTATTTTCAACACTATAGCACTTCTTGATTGGACCATTGTTTTCTTTTTTTCCATTTCTGACAGAGTATTCAGTGTAATTTCTTTTTTTTTAACCTTTTTTTTTTTTTTTAAGTTTTAGATGATGTTTACATAGCTGAGCAGAGTGGGAAGGATCTAGGGTTAGGGAGAAGTTGATGCGATCATTGTTTCCAAACTTTCTATTTCTTCTTCCTGTTTATGTGGGGAGAGGAGAGATAAGGGGATAGGCCATACCCAGCCTCCCAGCCATCCCGGTACCCGAGGATGGGGAAAGGCCACCAGTATCAACCCAGGCACATGTCCAAGGGTTATGTTCAGGTGGATGCGATACTTTTGAAATGCTGTTGACTTCGCTGATCGGTAGATGAGAAATCCCTTCCCATGTGCATTGGCTGACACGGTTGATCTTAGAGTCTCCATTTGCCCAGATATTTTCTGTCATTGTTTGGCTGGGGCAATTGTCCATATATTCTTCTCCATTGTTTACTATGGTACCAGATGTCTTCTGCAAGCCCCAATGAGCTACCAAGCCCTCCATGTGCACCATGGTCTGCCATCCAGTACTTCATCTTTTATACTGAGGAGGACCAGTTTTCATAGGTGAGCTCGTGGACCCAGGCCAGGTGGCCTGAATCAAGCAGCACCTCCAACACTGGGGCTCACGGACTTGGAAACCTCCTTGCAGTTGGACCCAAGAACCCAGGGCAAGTGACCCAAGCCCACTGGACCCTCTAGCCCTGGGGCTCTCAGACTCAGTATCCACCATGCAGGCAGGTTCAAGGCCCCAGGCAATGTGACCCGGGACCTGCTGGACCCTTCACCCCTGGGCCCCATGGACCTGGAACCAACCTTGCAGGCAGACTCAGAGACCTGGGCCAGGAGACCTAGGCCCCTCCAGACCCCCCACCCCTGGGGTTCACAGATTCAGCATCTACAACAAGGGCAAGTGTAAGGCCCCAGGCCAAGCGACCCAGGCCCTCTCAGGGCCTTCAGCCCTTGATCTCACAGATCTAGTATCTACCATGTGGGCAGTTTCAAGGTCCTGGGCCATGTGGCCCGGGACCTGCTGGACACCCCCATCTGCCTGGGACTCATGGACCCGGAACCACTTCACCGGCAGGCTGAAAGTACTGGACCAGATGACCCAGGGCCTGCTGAAACCCCTGCCCCTGGTAGTCATGGACCAAACACCCACCACTCAAGTGGACCCCAAGGACCTGAACCAGGTGACCCAGGCCCCACCAGATTCCCCACCCTTGGGGCTCATGGATCTATCACTCACCTTGCAGGCAGGTTGAAGGGCCCCCTTCATCCCTGGGGTTCACAGATCTGACACCCACCGCCCCCAAACTGGCATGGCTCACCTCACATTGGCATCCACCAGCAGGTGCTTCAGCTTAGTTTTGATCCAACCTACCTCCAGTTCCAGCTTATGCTGGTTGGTGCTGCAGCCTAACCTTGCCCAGTCAGTTCCCATCCTGGCTCCAGTGTGAACTGGCTGGTGTTGCAGCCTGACCTGGCCCCTCTTGCACCCCATCCTGGTTCTTGGATCTGCCAGTGGTCGTTATGAACTGGCTTGGCCTGGCCTACCCCCAGACCTCAACCACATGTGTGCTGGTGGGTACTGTAACCTGGGCTGGTTTGGATTATTTATTGCTTAGGTTCTTGCACTTATCTGCAGGGACTGCAACCTAGCAAAGGAGTTCACCAAGTTCCTCCATCTGGTCTTCTTCTAGTGGCAGATCTTGTGCACTGGTGGATCCTTGGCCCAGGTTAACTTTGTCCACCTCTTGTCCTGGCAGGAATGGTATCCCTGCCCAATCGGCCCATACCCTTTCCAGTTCTTACTGTTGGGTGTTAGCCCAGCCACAACTGGTCCATGCCCAGACACAGCTCTCACATGGTTCAACGGGAGCCAAGACCTAGTGCAACCTGTTTAATACCCACCCTTACTCTCATAAGTACAAGTGGATGCTGCATTCTAGCCCAGTCTGACTCTCCCCAGACCCAATCCACACCTGTGCCAAGGGAGATTGCAGCCTTGTCCAGCCTAGGCCAGTGCCCCCATTCTGGCTCTTGTGCTTGCCAGTAGGAATTCCAGCCCAGTTGGGCCGGCCCCTTTTCTCCCCAATTGGGCCTATTCCCAGTCACAGATCTTGCATGTGCCAATGAAGATTGCTGTTCCACATAGATGAGCCCACATACTCCCCCACAAATTCTACCCCCAGACCTGATTCATGTATTTGTTGGCTCCATGGCCCAGCCTCACAACCTGTTTCCTTTCCAGGTACTTGCTGGTGGGTTTTATGTTCTAGCCTTTAAGTACAGTGGCTTTGTCCTTGAAGCCCCAGAGAAGTCATTCCTCACCTGGACATGAAGCTTCAGGTCCCTGTTCGTCCCCACCTGTGCCATCCCCCAGACTCCCTGAACCCCACAGCCCCAACTTCCCAGAAAGCACTGGTAGGGCCCGAGTTCCCCTGGCTCCAGCCATGCAGCTGGGGGAGTAAAGCAGCCACACCTCCAGTGCAGATTTCCCTGATGTCTGCCCGTCCATCTAATTTCCTTACTTCAGGCTAATATTTGCCTTTATATTTGTTAGTTAATAAGTTAATACTTGTAAGTTAATACTTATGGTTTACCTATGTTCATTTCTCCTTTGTACATTTCAGGTTCCGCAGTGGGAGATGTTCTCTGTCTAAGCCTTTATTGCTGTTTATTGCTATCCACGTGCTTGGAAGGAGGGAGGGAAGGGGAGAGAGAGAGAGAGAGAGAGAGAGAGAGACAGACAGACAGACAGACAGACAAACCTTCCATTTGTTGTTCACTTCTCAAATGCTCACAGAAGACAGAAGCCTGGAATTCTATCCAGTTCTCTGACATGTGGGTCAGGGACCCACGTATTTCAGCCATTATCTAATGCATTTAAGAGGGAACATTAGTAGGAGCCTGGAACAGTAATCGGCCAGTGTCTCTAAACCTCATCACCGGTATGAGATGCAGGCGTCCCAACTGTCATCTTAATTGCTGCATCACAGTGCCTGCCACGACTTGTTTCTTTCACTCATTGATTATGCTAACTCTTCCCCTTAGCTCTTCTCCATAATTTAAATTTTATATTATCTATTCAATTGTTTTGAATTTTAGAGACAGATATGAGAAAAGTGACACAGTGGGACTTTGTTTAGAAGTGATTTGGTAGTATTTTTAAATTTTAGCAGAAAATGTGTCTCTCTTTGTATCTACTTGTTCAGTTCTTCAATTAAATCAAATTTGTGGTGTTCTAACTTAGGAATTGGATTATTCTTATTTGTGCAAAGAACGTTTCAAACTGAAGCATGCTTTCTTTCATGTTTTCAGAGTTAGTTTATTGGTGTAATCATCATGTCTGCAGGGCCAGTCAGGCAATGTGATGAGTGAAGTGGGTTGAGAGGAGCAGCAAAGGATGCTGAGGAAGTTATCAGGACTATCCCCACTAGGCGGGGATAGAAGTCCAGGGATGTTGGACTCTTGTTTGCTGCCATGGCTGCTTTGCATAGAGCAGTGTCCGTGCCCAATAATCTATTTACTGAAAAAAAAAATGGATGTGTAGAAAGTTCATACCAAAAAGAAGTTTGGCTTTTTTACAAGGCAGCTAGTTAAAACCACTGGAAACTGTGTGGGTCAAACAAAGCACACATCTCAGGCTGCCTGTTGTGCCACTTTGTGACTCAACAGTGCACTGCCTGTCATTTGTCATCAGCACTGATCCTTCTGCCCTGAGGGCTCTGGCCGTATTCCAAGGACAGGTCTCCGCTTTAGACTGCTGCTGGTGTCTCCACCTGAGGGATGAATACAAACATTTAAAACAAATCAACTGTAGGCTGTATCTTGGCTCTTGATCTTGTAAAAACGTGCCTCCTTTAGAAGGTGGCATTGTTTGGACTGTCCGGAGCCTCTCAGAGGTCTGGCTGATTCCTGAAGATCTGGATAAACAGACACATTTCCCCTGTAGCTGTGGCCGCTTCTTTCCTCAAAGCTTTCTCGCTAGCACACTGGGCAGGGGGACTCGTATGTATTGCTTTAGGTTGTTACCAGTTCACTTGCAGAGGAGCTAATGCTTCTTTTCCCTTCTCTCTTGCATACTTGATTTCTGTGGTGTGGTGTGGTATGGTGTGTGTGATTGTGAGATAAAGGAATTTATTCTTAATAGCTTCTGTTTCTTTTTCTTTCAGAAGACAAAAAATCTGTTTTTCCTGATGAGTCTCAATGAGTGAAATCTAATGTCTAATCAATTGATTTTACCATTTAAATAACTAGAGTTTAAATTTTAACCTGGGCCCAGTGTGGTAGCCTAGCAGCTAAAGTCCTCGCCTTGCAAGCTTCAGGATCCCATGTGGGCACTGGTTCTAGTCCCAGCAGTCTTGCTTCCCATCCATCTCCCTGCTTGTGGTCTGGGAAAGCAGTCGAGGACAGCCCAAATCCTTGGGACCGTGCACCCGAATGGGAGACCTGGAAGAGGTTCTGGGCTCCTGGCTTCAGCTGGGCTCAGTTCCGGGGGTTTATGATGACTTGGGGAATGAATCAACAGACGGAAGATCTTTCTCTCTGTCTCTCCTCCTCTCTGTATATCTGAGTTTCCAATAAATATAAAATAAATCTAAAAAAATTTTTTTGAACTTATAGTCACAAATTCCCCTTTCATGTCAGGGAATAGGATGGTGATATTTTATAATGATCTATGTAGTGGTTAGTTTCTAATGTCAGTATTTAATCAGCACATTGTAGAAATTTTGATTTGTGATGTTTTGTGTAATTTTTGATGGATTTTCTGGGTTCTCTGTGACTGTTGCTACTTTTTTTTTGCAAGGAAAACTTTTCAGCAATTCTTTATAGTTTCGATCAAATATGACTGAATTTAAGTTTCAATCAAATATGACTGAATTTAAGTTTTACCTAGAGGTTCAGAATACTCAGCAACTCACACTATTCTTTTAAAAAAGGTTTACCTTATTAATTTGAAAGCCAGAGTGACAGAGGGAGAGGCAGAGGTCTTTAATTCACTGGTTCATTCCCTAAATGGCCATGGTAAAATGGTAGAGTTAGGTGTAAGCTGAGAGCCAGGGACTCCTTCCGGGTGGCAGGACCCCAATGCTTGGCCTGTCACTTGCTGTTTTTCCAGGTACGTTAGCAGGGCGAAGGTGTGGAAGTGGAGCAGACAAAACTCAAACCAGCACGCTGGTATGGTATGCCATCGTCGCACGTGGTGGCTTTACCTGTATCACAATACCAGCTTCCAAAACACTCTGTTTTTAAATGTATTTATATGAACTTTTAAGACCTAAAATTATTCTAAAATAATACTTGATTCCAAAGTAATGTTTTCAGTTAATGATGTTTGAAATTCAGTAACTTATGTTTTCATTTCTTTTTTTTGTTGACAACAAAAATCTGATAGAGATTATTAATCCCTGTTCCATACCTAGTCTAACATGTCACTTTGCCATAAAGAGTTATCTTATTATTCTGATTTAAATCATATTAAAAGATCTGCAGACTCAACGTTTTCCATGTGCATGAAGTGCCAAGACAGCACTGAAAACTGATAAACCTGCTTGTCAAAGCCCGAGAGTGACTCCAACTGGAAATTTGGCACTTCATTAAATTTAAGGACTGCCGTAAGGATGCCTAATACTTGGTTTTATTATTTCCTTGTTTGCTTCTGGAATGGCTGTGGAAGGTTCTGGTGATCGCCATGAGTATAGAGCATGGGCATTTCCACAAGGTCCCATGACCCACGCTGGGCTGCTGAATGCAGTGGGCTGACCTGAGCCTGTGTTGAATGTGTACATGGGTGGGACTGCAGTTTACAATGTCTCATGAGCTTTAAAGCTAAAGAGGGATGTTTTATATTATTATTTTCAGGAGCTGGTGATGATACACGAACTTGGGGGCCACCTTTTGTGGGGACAGAAAGTACATATTTTCTGAGTGTTAATCGAAATAAAAAAGTAAGAATAACTCTTTTTGTTTTCTTTGTGTAATTCTCTTCAAATAACAAAATCTTGACATCATTGTGTTTTCTTTTTTTTTGGTAGCTGTAATCAGTATTTCAAAGAAATTGAATTTTATTGTTTAATTTTTTGCTGAAGAAACAATAGCACCATTACTATCTCCCTTTTCTGCTAAACAATTGAAACATTGCATGAAGATTTATAATGGAAATAAGTTTAAGGAAGAGGAAATCATTATTAACATTTGTTATTCTTTTAGAAAATGCTAAATACCTAATACTTGGTATTATTATTGAAAAGCATTTACTATAATCCCTATTATTATCCTAACATAACCTAGTTGCAAATAAAAACAGAAAAGATAAATAATTCCTCATCAGGAAAATAGATTTGCTTCAAGAGGAATATTTTTCAAGATTCAAGAACAAATCTTGGTGAGCTACCAGTAGTAAGAAAAACTTTTAGAACAGTGTTTTAGTATATATTTGCTTTGATTTTCAGAGTATAGCTGTTAATATCAAGGACCCAAAAGGCGTGAAAATCGTCAAAGAGGTATAGTATGCTCTGTGAAAATATCCTTTTAAAAATTATTAATTATTTTAACTTTTGTTGATTTTTACATTGTTGATTAGGGTGTTTAGAGTCAAGGGCTACAGGAAGGTGGGCGGGATCACCATTTTCACATTCTCTTTTTTTCTTTCCTGTAGCTGGGGGGAGAGGGAACACAAGGAGAGAAGCCACATCCAGCCTCCCAAACACTTGTGCACCTTGGGATGGAGGACAGCTACCTGACACCACCTCAGGGACCCTGATGAGGAGCATGCTTTGAGGGTCCTGCTCCTGAGGTTTTGATAGTTCAACAGTTCTGAATTAATGCTGATCTTGCCATTTCAAGTATGATGAAATCTTTTCAGAATCTACTGGGTGATGTAGTCTGCGTTAGAGTCTCCATTTGCCCAGTTATTCACTAACAAAACTTGGCTGGGTTAGTTGATCAATTTGTTCTGTCCTCCATCCTTTGTTGTGGTACCAGGTGTCCTCTGTATACTCCAATGTACTGACGTGTCCTCCATGTGCACCTGGATATGTGGTCCACTGCTCCATCTAAGCCGCTGAGGAGGCTCAGCTCTGACACATTCATTCCACGGTCAGACCATGGAACCTGCCATTCTCTCCATGATTAGGGTTCTGAGTCCAGCAATTTGGTTGGAGGGATCCCCATAGAAACCTCATCTGAGGTGATCCAAGACCTGATTCTTATGTGTGCTTGCTAACAATATAGGGTCCCGCAGAGTCTGTTGCCCCAATCAGCTTATGCACATGCTGGTGGTTGCAATTGCTGGGTCAGTTCTGTCTCCAGCCCAGTTTTACACAAGCCAATGGGTGTTGCAGCCCAGCCCGATCCTGCCCACCACACACTTGGAAGAAGCTCCTGAAAATTGTTGTGATTATACCCTATTTCCCATATATTTTTCTGTAGCATATCAGATTTACATGTTTGTTTTTATGTTCACTTGAAACTCAGTTTGATTTTCTAAATTGTTCACAGTGTTTTTGGCCTGCTCTCTTTTTCTCCAGTGGCTACTCTCAGCTTGAACTCAACTCTCACTGATTTCATTCCTGGCTCTTTTCTTTTCCTCTTCTTTCTCTTTCCTTTTCTCCTTCCCTTGCCCCTTTTATTTTTATTGTTTTCATCAAGGAACTTGTTTTTCCATTGACACATCTCTTTCTGTTTTCTTCTGTTTCTTGATTCCATCTTCATTGTTCATAGTTCCATTCTTTGTTTCCATTCAAAAACTTTCTGATCTTTGATCTTGGGAAGCCAAGATTTCAAATTTGATACAACAAATACTTTAGGTTTTCATTAGGGTTTCTAAATTGGGAAGTATTAGGCAGAATTTCTATTTATTGCTACTAAGATTATTTAGACCTAATTGTATAGTTCTGAGCAAAATAAATCAGTTACTGGTATTTTCTTCCCAATCTCCTTGGATTATGCCATCGTCTGCCTTTCACAGGCTGTTAGCAGGGTGCTAGATTGTGAGTGGAGCAGCTGAGGTTGCTGCCAGTATAGAATACCAGCATCAGGACTGTTACATCCTTGTAACAAATAACTGAGTCTCAGCCAATCATAGCAAACTGTAATCACTTAAAATTAAGTTTCATTATGGGATTGGTTTCTCTTGAAATCTGATTGACAATAAAAAAGTACATTTTAACTAATATGAAACTTAAATAGAGTGTCTGGCAACATTATTTATGTTGATTGCTTTTAGCAAGTGATACCATTCATCGGCTATGTATCTTACTGCCTAGAGGAAAAATTATTATTTTAAAAATTTTTTATGTCCTTTCTGGAAGGGATTTCTCTTTTGGCCTTAAGAGAAGTAAAACAATCTCTGCATTTAAGCCTTCATGGCTATGATTACTAATATAATGAGTCTAGTTTATAGTAATGGTTCCAAAATATTATACAAGGCAATCAGCTGGATACTTGAGAGCTCCAAAAAGTATGACTCCTTTGTCAGCTAGGCTAACCAAAACCAGGTTGTGTAAATACCAAAACTATGCTTTGAAAATCTGTGTGGAGCCTGATATTTACAAGGAAATATGACTTGATAATTTTCACATGTCATACTATATTTCAAAGAATTCTCTGTGCTAACTCTTTATGTTAAGTAGTTGCAATAATATTTTTATTTTTACCTGCATTAAAGTAAGTTGAAGAATGCTATGAGTTATTTTTCTGCAATGTTTACTTTGAAAAATTCATATATACCTTAGGGTTGAAAGAATAGTTATTAAACACCTATTGACCCTACTTATATAAAACACAATTTTATTATATGCTGTATTTGCTTATTTATATATGTATGCATGTGGTGTGTGCTTGACTTAGGTAAAAATGGGTGGAAGTTTGTGAAATTTTGCCCTTAAATCTTTTGATATACATCTTCTAGGAATAAGGAAATACTATGAAAATTATTTAAAAATATTTTGTCTTTCCTTATTCATAACTGAGGTTAAGTTATCATCATTAATTTCCCTTCTCTACTTTCCATCTTGATGACTTAGTCTGTTTCTAAATTATGTTTAGTAACAACTCCAGAATTAGTCATTGTAAAATTCAGATTGATTTTAAATGTCATGTGGCCTGTGACTGGAAGGAAATTTTTTTTCAATTTCAAAAGGCATAAAATGAAGGTTCTCCAATTGTGTAAAATTGTGCTTTAATTATGGACAAGATTCTACAGTAGATTATTTTATAAGACTTGCAAGCACCTAGACAATCAGAGATGATCACTAATAAAATTGGAAAGTCTTTTTTCCCCTCATACTGTTTCCTAGTATATCCTTATTTTAAGGAAATGCCTTGAACATTTGTCTACACTGAGCACTGGATTGCTATAAAACATGGAGAATGATGAACATGGAGAACTTGTGTCCTAATTTGAGAGGTCTTTGAAAATATTCTTGTCAGTGTTTGTGATGAAAAGAATATTCATGGTTTTCAAAGTTGTTTTGCATCAAAATAACTCATACTATCTTGTTATAACATGTCTGAAGAAGAACTAGTATGACACACTAAAAATACTTCAGTTTGAAAAGAACACCCATTGACATGAATATTGCAAAACTGGAAACAAGACTAGTCATCCAGTTTATCATAAATCTTGGGCAGAAGAATGAGATCATTGATATTTTGTAAAAGGCTTATGGAACAATGCTGCCAAAGAAATCAGCATTTTCAAGTGGATAATTCATGTTATGAAGGAATGAGACAGTGTGGAATATGAAGCCTGCAACAGCAGGCCATCTACATCTATTGGTCAGGGAAAAAAACAAATCTCGCTGATGCCCTAATTGAAGAGGACCTAAGATTAACAGCAGAAACAATAGTTGTAGATATTTCAATGGTTTCGCTTACACAATTCTGACCAAAAAATTAAAGTAGAGCAAACATTCTGCTCCATGGGTGCCAAAACCATGAACCCAGATCAACTGTGGACAAATGCAGAGTTTTCAATGGAAATTTTCAACAAGTAGGAGCAAGCCTGAAGCATTTATTTGAAGGATAGTAACAGGAGATGAATGAGACGTGGCTTCAGTGTTATACTGAAGACAAAGCACAATTAAGCAATGACTTTTGAGCTGTGCAAGTGGTCCAGTCAAAGCAAAAGCAGAGATCATGTCAAGAGCAAAGATCATGACATTTTTTTTTAATGTGGGAGGGAGGTACTCAAGGTATACTCAAGGTATACATACATTCATATTTTACATAAATATATATATATGTTGCTATATTGGAGGGTCAAAGAATGATACCATCCTCTTATAAGGAGACTATTTTGAGAAAGTCAGCCAAAGTAGAAAAACACCTGGGAAAACTACACTGGAGAATCTTATGCCACAACAATGCTCTTGCTGATTCCTCATCAAACAAGGAAAGTTTTATAGGAATTTTGCAGGGAAATTATCAGGCAAATGCATTATAGCTCTAATTGGCTTCTTGTTAATTCATTTGTTTTCTTTTTTCAATCTCTTAAGGACAACCATTTTTCAATTACTGGTATAAAAAATATTGCATAGAGACGATTAAATTCCTAGGTCTCTGTTCTTTAGGGATGAACTACATAGCTAGTACTATAATTCACAGCATTGTCTTGAATTTAGTGGAGCTTACTTTGAGAAAAAATGCTTGAATTTGATTTTTACCTTTTTTTTTTTTTAAAGATTTATTTTTATTATTTTTTATTGGAAAGGCAGATATACAGAGAGGAGATACAGAGAGGAAGATCTTCCGTCCGATGATTCACCCCCCAAGTGAGCCGCAACGGTCGATGCTATGCCGATCCGAAGCCAGGAGCCTCTTCCGGGTCTCCGCGCGGGTGCAGGGTCCCAAAGCCCTGGGCCGTCCCCGACTGCTTTCCCAGGCCACAGGCAGGGAGCTGGAAGGGAAGCGGGGCTGCCGGGACCAGAACCGGCGCCCACATGGGATCCCGGGCGTGCTAGGCGAGGACCTAACCACTTGCGCCACCGCGCCGGGCCCGATTTTTACCTTTTAATTCCAATTTTACATGAATTTCTGAAGGTCCCACTTATGTATAAGTACATATTATGAAAATATTATACATGAATTTCAGGGATTTTTTTTGCATCACAACAAATTTGAATCCATTTCCCACAAGTTTTCTGCAATACTCTTTATCTCTCAAGCAAGAAGGAATTTTCTGTTAAATCTGTTTCAGCATCAATCTGTCATTTATGAATGACTTAGCTAAGACTGTGTGAATGTAAATGATCTTGAAATGGGTGAAATGTTGAGAAAAAGGGAATGTAAGAGGACCTCTGAAAGTTCATGGAGAATTCGCATTTCTTTTTTATTCCTTTGTCCATGAACTTTTGGAAGGCCCTTCACACGTTGCATGATAGACTCACTGAGAGTCAGTGTCTAGTATCTTAGAGAAAAAGATAAAAAGGGAATAATTTCCTTTTACAGACTTAATTTAGCAACAGATATATTGCATGCATGTTAAACTATTTATTTATTT